CTTGCCTATTTTGAAAGCATAAAAAGCAATAAAATAAAGCAAAAGTACTTATTTTTAATTTAAAACCTTTGGACTGCATAGCTTAATGTTTTCCACTAAATATTACAAAGTTTTTATTCATTGAAATGTTGTTTTATCAGAGCTTTAAAACCAGATAAATCCACGAAGCACTCCTATAAATATGTCGCCATATTGATTTTTTCGCGCATGCTCCGTACAAAATGCCCAGCTGTTGGTTAGGTCTAATAAATGTATATAATCTTCCGCTAGAAATTTCTATCTACAAAACCCTTCAACTGTTAGTTCTATCGAGCGAGATGCTCAAAAATCTCGATAATTACCCATACCTTATATACAAGAACCTGTGGTTAGAGCTCGACAAGTTAATCTTTAGTTTCTGGTCCGCCGCCCGCATCCTTTCTCCTTTAAGCATTATTTCAAGACTATTTTGTTGTTTACAATTAATTTCTAGTTCTTGAAAATTTTCGCGAAGGATTTAACTTATAGAACGATAAATATTCAATTTACACTAAAAAGACCTAGCAAAATGAAGTATTGAAGGGTAAAAACCACAGACTGCCTTATAGGTCTGCGTTCTCATTTGGCCATAAAGCACTCGAAAATTCCATCAACTAAACCCTTCAAGTGAGTTCCATCGAGAGTGAGATGCTCTAAACCCAGAGAGCCTGCCACGCAGGCTAGAGATGCTCCAAATCCTGATATTTACTCATTATTGGACTCTATGATTGTAGATCTACAGGAATGGAGTGCTTGATCATGGTATTGATGGCATGGAAATGCAGGCAGATTCATCCTGGCGTTGGACGAAATATATTCAATGTGCGAGGAATACAGCTGAGCAAAATACAGTGGCATTTCAGTTTGGAGCTGATATCTACTTTCAAACGTATAAAACCATCAAACCAGGCGAGGAAATATTGGTTTGGTATGCCGAATACTACGAACAACATCATGGAATTCCTGTTGGGGTGCGTAAGATAAACAAGACCAAGGAAATGTCAGAAACAGGTAAATCACTATATTCTACCTATATAAAATATAACAATATTAAAATATTGTTTCAATATCATGTAACCAATTTCAAGGCAATATAATGTAACATATAACATTAATTAATATTTACAGTATAAGTTTCAAGTGGCTTAATACTTCCGGAAAGTACGCCATCTTTGCCATAGAGCCTCGTTTTCGCAACAATTGAAATGAGGGGAGCGGGGTTTTTCGCAAATATTTTGTGGCCGATGCAGGAGCAGCTTCGAAAAATTTGACAACCATGGACTCCCTGGCAGGAACAAGTAAAATCAATAGACAATTCCCATTATAGACTAATTTTAAAATTAGGCAAGGAAACTCAAATAAATTACCACAGCTAGAAAGAGCATACTAAAATTAGTAAAATTACAAAGTTTGGTTGCGAAATGTTGTAAAATGAGGAAAATATAACCTTGCAAAGTTCGCAAATTTTGTATACTTTTGTATTGCTTGTGGAAATTCCTACCACATCCTACCACATTTAGACCGAAAATGTCGCACGCAATACAAAAGTATACAAAATTTGCAAACTTTGCAAGGCTATATTTTCCACATTTTACAACATTTCGCTACCAAATTTTGTAATTTTACTAATTTTAGTATGCTCTTTCTAGCTGTGGTGATTTATTTGCATCTCCTTGCCTAGTTTTAAAATTAATCTATAATGGGAATTGTCTATTCATACTAGAATATACAGCCTAAAATCTCTAATCATTCTCTTAATAATTGTGAAGTCTTGAACTTCATCTCATATATTCATCTAAACATTGTGTTATAGCAACCACGACCAAAGAAATCTTAGAAAGAGCGCAACGCAGTATCAGTGACATAACTCCAACTGTAAATTGTGTGGAAAATCCACGACCAATAAAACCGCTAGCCCGTTTCCCAACGGCAATGTCCCAACCTCCTTCGCTCAGGTCAAATCATGTCGGAAGACCAGAACTCCCCCCACATATCTCAACTCAAGGAGGTGTACCCAGCAGCCCTTCCACAGAATTTCAATCGTCGTCTTCTAGCAAACCTGAAAACTTACGTATTTCATTCCGAGTTCCCAAAGAAAAGCGAAGCACCATTTCTGAAGCGGTTAATGTTGGAACAACCGTAACATCGCCAGAGAAAGTGGCTCGGAGAAGAGATCTCCGTCTTGGTTTACATGCTTTCAAAACTCGTTTCTGGAAATGCGAACACTGCCTATCAAGGTTCCCTCAGAAGTGGGCGTTGCAGGTTCACAGTTGCTCGTGCGTGGTTACCAAGCCATACTTGTGCAGTAATTGTGGGAAGGCTTACGTCAGCAAGGACGACGTGCAAGCGCATGCGTCAGAATGTGGTGGCGGCAGACAATACAAATGTGGTTACTGCGGGCGCAGTTTTCTGAACGTGAACACCTTAAATAAGCATCTTAAAGTGCATTCAAGGAAAAGTGTGGTCGGTGCTTTCAAGAGAAAAACAATGGTACCTATTTACCAAAGGCATGTGCAATAAATATGGCACATGCATATAATCCCATATACCTGTTTTTAGCTTATCATCTGATTGCCACAGAAGCTAGTATGCAGACTTTCGAAAAAGTCCATTCACGAAAAATTGTGGCTACTACATTGAAGAAAAAAACCCGATAGTGCTTATTTATCAAAGACTACCACAAATTGATATCTAAAAAATAATCTTACCAAAATACATTCACGTAAAAGTACGGCTGGTGCTATCAAAAGAAAAATAATTGTACGTTTTTTTATCAAAGGTTTTTGCAATGGACATGGTTGTTGGTACATATAGGTCATATACTTGTTTTTCTGCTGGCTTTTTTAGCTAATGTAATTGGCAGAGACTGAGGATTGTAGTTAGCACTAAGCTTATAGAACTGACCAAAAGGACATCTATATAACAAAGCTGTGAAAATTATAGTTTTCGACCATGAAAACATGGCAGGCTACACAGTAACTGGTTAAGCTACATGTTGCATGAAATTTAAGGCATAAAAGTTTAAAAAGCCGAAGCCCCGGTCAAACAAGGATGAAAGTTGATGAGAGTTGACAGCCACGCATTGTTACAGGGGACATTTCAAGCTCTAGATTAACAAAGGTTTGCTGAGTGCTCCAAATGTGTTTTAACTTAAATAAAATACATGATAGTGTTGGGAAAGCATTAAGAACAGCTAACCAAGATCGCATGACTGCCAACTCTCATCCTCATTTGACCTGGGCTTAAGATTATAAGCGACAATGTTGGTCATACGGTGGCAACCTAAACCCCCCTAGCTAAAGATTCTTGTAATTGTAAATAAGTTATGCGCGTGCCTTGACTTTGCTTCTGTATGTATATACTTCATCTATGTTAAATATTGTATTTATTCTCTTTGATTTTGATAAATAAAGGAAAAATAGTCCTTTGTAATGGACCATTTGCATTATAAACTAAATTTTGATCTGGACAAAAATTTCATCACAGCTTGAAAGAGCATCATAAAATTAGTAATATTCCAAAGTTTCGTTGCAAAATGTTGTAAAATGCGGATAATATAGCCAAGCGAAGTTTGCCGTTTTTCAGTCATTTTGTATTACGCACGGGAAATTGACAGCCCAATCGGGTGTTGGGGCATCAATTTCCCGTTTGTAACACAAAATGACTGAAAATTGCAAATTTCACAAGGCTATATTATCCGCATTTTAACATTTCGCAACGAAACTTTGCAATATTACTAATTTTGTGATGCTCTTTCAAGCTGTGAAGAAATTACTGTCTAGATCAAAATTTAGTCTGTAATGCAAATGGTCCATTCATGTCATAGATAAATCCTATGTGTGGCATTGTACAACGTAGCGTGGGCCTGGGGACGAAGATGGGAAACTGGAGATTTGCAACACCTTCGTTTCACTCCAGATTTGTATTGAGCTCACTGCCTAGCCTTGAAAGTACTTTGAGATTATTTACAAATCCTTTTTACAGATTCTCCCAAACAGTCTTAATTTTTGAAATATTTGGAACCAAAACATTCTGCCAACCACCATTTTATCTTGCAATTAGATCTAATTAAAACTTTAAAACTAACAAATTACATAGAGAAGAGCTCATACATATCGTGTACCTTAGTTTAAAGTACACAGTAGTAAAAATAAGGAGTTAGCATCAAAATGACACAAAAAATTGCTCAAGATACAAAATAATTTTACCCTGGTTGTGATGTCACGCATATCTGACGATGGATATGCATATCCAAGATGGCGGAATGCATAACAATTTGTTTGAAAGAACGGTAATATATTTTATACCAAAAACGATAAAGAAAATCTGTGAAAAGGTTTTGAAATATATGGAATCTCTCTCCAAAACGGGAGCTTAAACGAGAGTTGATGAATCGATTCAAACAAGGACAATGTCACGTTATGAGGTGTAGCGTTCTTTTATGCGGAAATTATGGACACGCTTTCGACAAATTGAACAGATTTGCTAGGAATGGTGCAATCATTTTACTGCATGGTTTCATCATATAGGGAGATTTCCTCTCGCCCGAAAAAAAACATTTGTTTTATTTTCGTGCCAAAACATTCAGTATGATAACTCCATGTATACGGCTCTTGCAAGTGACGTCACAACATGTATTTGCTGACTTCCGCCATTTTGGGTGGCAAATAAAAAATAGTCAATTAAAAGCAAACATATAGCGTCTACAACTGTCTGTGTAGCAGTCGGTTGAATAAAATATTTTTGCCACTCAAAATGGCGGATTATTTCTGATTATTTCTGATGATACGTCATACTGTAATATACAGAGCTCACTGCAACGTAATTACGTTTGGAAGAAGCATCTCGTCATATATACAACAACAGCGTCATCCCACTCACAAAAGTACATTTGCAAACACGTTATAGACCCATCGCACATGACGTCACAGCGCCGGTGACGATGCATCTGGAGGACAAATTAGCAATCTATACATAATATAACTTTTGTAACCAAAGGAAATTTTGTAAAACTTTATAATCATTTTCTATTAAAATGGTTAATTTTTACGATGTATGTGGTTGTTGTACCCGAACAGATATTGTTAGGGGGCATCTGGAGGACACTTTAAGGATTTGTGACGTCAGTGCAATGGGTCTATATCCGGCGTCAAGTGTTTGCCACATGTATTGTCATCATTTCTGCCACTTGACTGTGAAGTGCCCAGAGAGAAACGAAGCTAGCGAAGCGTTATATGCACTCACTAGTCAAATGATGTACTTAGCTGGAATTGCATTTTCACTGAGAGCACTTCGTAGTTGGCACTTCAGTATGACTATAAACAAAACAGATATCCAGCCAACTTCCCGTACGTGCCAAATATCTTTAGGAGTCACCAGGGATGTAATAAAGCATTTGGAGTTTGAGGGGATATCAAAGGATATTAATTTTACCTGAAATGTTAAATTCGACAACAAAAAATCATGAGAGTGGGGGGGGGTGTCTTATATTTTTTTAAACATACGTGCGTACACGTTTCCACACCGAGCTTTTGTCAGTTTTACTATTGGAAACTTTTAAATGGATTTAACTTTTCCGTGCGTATACGTAGGGGCAAAAAAAAATATGTGGGTTTCCGGTTTCTTCTTATAAAAACTTAGGTAGGGTAGGTCGGTTTTAACTTTTTTTTTTAACTTTTTTTTTTAATTTTCCGAACAAGCGGACGCCATTTTGTTTAGTCAGTGCTTCCACATCCAAAGATAAATGTCCCTAATATTGCCTCAAATTTCAATTTTCCACAAACTTTTCCCTCTAAGTGGAAACACTTACAAGAATGATCCAATAAAAAAAGTTTAGAATCGGGATTTCGACGTCCAAAAGCTAGGTAGGGTCGGGAAACCGGAAACCCACGTATTTTTTTATTTGGCCTAGGTTGAAAACGCTTACATGCATAGAAAGCAGCGTTAAGGTACCCAGTGTTATTTTAAAAGGAAACCGGAGTACACGCGTAAAAATCTCTCAGCTTTTCAACAAGATGTGTTCGCACTGCTTGTTCCCATGCAGTTGTTAACAAGTCTGGAACAAGTTGTTATCATCTTGTAACCTGGTTGATGAGGCAAACAGTCTCGTAACAGTTGTTATAACAAGTTGATGACAACAAGCTTGTAGCGACTTGTTGGAACAACTTGTAGCGAGTCTGTTACCGTTATCAACAAGATGATAACTTGTTCCAGACTTGTCACAACAACTGGGAACAAGCAGTGCGAACGCGTCCACCAATCGGCTTGACAACAATTTTTTACAACTTGTTTTCAGATCTATAACAACTTGCGTGTTTTTGCACTAGTATCCCAAGAAAAACTGTATACGGTGTTTGCATGAAGTCAAATTGGTAGTGCTATTCTCGCATGCAATGAGGGGAAATATTTCAACTGACAGAAAATTGCATATTGCAGGTATGATACATTACTAATTCTTTAATTCACAAAGTTAAAAATCGGGAAAGAAAGATATCTGCATTTTGAGGCAAGTTTTCCAACTCAAATTCATAAATATATGTATATTTTGTAACAAATGCGGAACTACAGGAGGAGGAATATGTATAGGTTATTTTGAGGCAACGAGGGGATATGTGATTTATTCACCGAGACGAGCAACGCTGAGGTGAATAAACACATATCCCCGAGGTGCCTCAAAATAACGTACTTATTTTTCACATTGTATGCATGCGAGGTCGCGTTAATGAGGTCTTGTTTTTTTCTCATTTTTTGTACTGCAGAGACATTACAGGTGAATATTAGAGGGGATTACTAAACGGAAATTAATTAGAAGGGAATATTGAATATATTCCCCGATAAGAACAAAGGAAACCGAGCAAGGTGAAAAATAAAATACGGAACCGTCCTTTGGTGAACTCGAGATTCTTTGTTGGCAAATGTCCATAAGACAAATCCCTTTGTCCATGCAGGTGGCTTTGATTTGATAAGCAATTTTACAAGTTAGTGTTTCACACGAAACTAGTTAAATTAGGCACTAATATATAAGCATCGCTATTATAGTATAGGTAATAGGATGGTTTCGTGCACGAATATGTTGCCCCTGTTTTCCATTATGCGCTGCCAAGATGTCTAAGCGATGATCTTGAACGTATTCAAAAACGAGCCCTTTTCATCATCTTAGGACCGGAGATATAATACAGTGATGGCTTGGATATTACAAAGCTCTGCCCCTTGTCTGATCGACGCCAAGCTCTCGGAAATTATTCAGGTCAATTATGAACGATCCAAACCACAAATTGTACAATCTTTTACCAACTTTTAACGTTAATACTAGATACTCATTAAGACACAAGCGACATTTTATTGAACCTCCCTATTCTACTAATAGATTTAGAAATTCTTTTATTCCTGCATCTGTGCATCAATTTAATATGTAGATTATGTAATCAGTTCATCCAATGTAATTCAGCTATTGCTGCAATATTGGTTTTTAATAAATTATTATTAGTATAATTACATAGGTGATTATTGAAAATTCTCCACGCTGATTGGTTGTAGTTGAGGTGATTATTACGCGATAATCACCTAAGCGATTTTCAAAATGGCGGTCGAAGCCGTTTTGTCAATTAAATGACGAAGAAATGTGCATTTTAAATTTTTTTTCCAAATAATCACCTATGAAATTATACTAAAACAATTATTCACCTCAGGCTCGGTGATTATCGTGAATAAAAACCTCGACTTCGTCTCGGTTTTTATTCACCGATAATCACCTCGCCTTCGGCGAATAATTGTTAATTATTATTATTACGAGTGAGTTCTTCAAAGAGCATCAGGTCTGAAAAACTCACGAGTGCTTCAGTTTACCTAAATTTCACGAGAGACAATCTATTATACGTAATAATATATATATATATATATATATATATATATATATATATATATATATATATATATATATATATATATATATATATATATATATATATATAATTGTTGTCTTTTTACTTAAAATTAATTAAGTCGCAACTCTGAGTTTCACGTTTTCACGATCTTCAGGCGACGATGTATGTTCAACTAACTTTTCCTGCTTGGTGACGTTGATCAGGAAAAAGCAGGAAAAGTTAGTTGAACATACATCGTCGCCTGAAGATCGTGAAAACGTGAAACTCAGAGTTGCGACTTAATTAATTTTAAGTAAAAAGACAACAATTATAAAGCTCTACTAATATTGGTGTTGAGCACTCTTCAAACTACTCAGTGCGTTCATACTTTTGTTTGAATCAACGATTATTATTGATATATATATATATATATATATATATATATATATATATATATATATATATATATATATATATATATATATATATATATATATATATATATATATATATATATATATATATATATATATGTATATATATATATATATATATACCATTATGGATATAGTCTGGCTTGCCAACGTTGATGTCACTTGTCTGGAGGATCCAAAGGATATACGACGCTTAAAATATTATAGATAGGTATACAGAAGGAAAGGTAGCCTGCGAACAGGCTCTCAAGCTGAATTGAGAACCTGCATCGATGACTAATGAATTTGAATATCTGCCCCGTAACGTTCGTTTTTCCAAATATGGAATGTCTATCCTTATATGGTGTTGTTTACAACTTTCGTGCAAACTAAATTTAGACCATGCAAACTAAATTTAGACCGTACAGTTTATACTGTTTTTCGAAATGTAAGATATTCAAGCAAAAGTTTAAATGTTTTAAATACTGTTTTCTCAAAACAGAACATTTCGTGCTTTGAGATAAGATGGCCACGACCAATTTGTTACTATACCTCATATTTGTAAATATATATTTATGTAATTTTTCTTATGCATGACACGCCCCTATGGAAATCAGCTTCGGTTGATAGGGTTAGCGTGGGTAAATAAAGTTTTTCTATCTATCTATCTATCTATCAGTTAATGTGTTTTTTATGCATAGTGCTTGCTTAGCAGTTGACATATATAGAGCTCAGTGGAATAATATAAATTATAGCATCTGACCAATGAGAATTTCGCGTCACGATTTGAGACGCAGATATTCAAATTCATTAGTCATCGATGCAGGCTCTCAATTCAGCTTGAGAGCCTGTTCACAGGCTACCATGTTTGTTTTGTTTAGAAGTAATATGCGACCGTTATATTTGAGGACTGCTTTAAGCTGATTAGTTGATTTTAGATCACATTGTTTTTCCACTAATAATCAGATCAGTTTGTTACATAATTTTGCACTGCTGTTTGAGATTAACTGCATGCACTGAAATCAGCCAATCACAGTCGAGTACAGTTATCAAAAATGATAGTCAGTGTTCACATGTTAATTCATTTATTCCAGCTACAGGGGAAATATAGATACCTGCATATCGAAGTAAAGGTAGAATGCACACCGTTCCACTTTTAATTAATTGTTTCATTTTATGTCCGGTTTCATTTCCTTCAAACTGAAAGAGCTCTTATTTTTCCTGTCTTTTGATATTCCTGTCAACAGCAAGTTTCCATTTTTATGACCTAATGGTGCTATTTGCATAGTGGGTTATTGAAAAGGCTTTTTGTTGTTCAGTATTGTTGTCTACTAAACTTCAAATGTTGTTTAAAACCTGTATCGATGGGGGTAATTTTCTCAAAGTTTTTCCAGAAAAATAGCTAATTAGCAAAGAAAGTTGTAACAAGGGGTTTTCAATCATGACAGTCTGATATCCTATATTAGGCAAAATAACATTGAATTTGAGCCAAAACTAAACGTTTGAAGTCTGAAATTTGCTATATATTTGGGAATAATATGTCGCAGGCAACCTAAATTCGCATCAGCAATATATTTCTTGAAGAGTCCGCTACTGTGTAAAATACTCTTTTTTCGAATGACGGGAATTAAGAATTTCCATTCTCGTATATAGTAGTAAAAGACACTGTTATTATTTTTGTTAAAAGACGAAAGCTTGTCCATGCACTAGTTTAAAAATATTAACATTTCACTACAGCAAATATTCCTACGATTTAAAGTGCTTATGACAACGAAATTTCACCCAATCTTTTCTTGATTGCATTTCAAAGATCACTTAAAATACTATAATATAACCTCTTTCGTAGAATACATGTAGCTCTCTTCCAATATATTCAACTTTGTTTGATGTCATACTGATGATATTTACTAAAAGGCACATAGTCGGGGTTCGTGATTTACATGTTTCATTTCCCCTCTCTGACTCTCTCTCGTTCATTTTCTCTTGTTTATTTTCACGAGCAATATCGGCAATTTCATGCTTGCTAGTTAATTAGCGTGCGACTCTTATCCCTGTCAATTATCAAACTTATATCCTTTATACAATAAATGAAATGGAAAACGTCTTTTCGCTTCAAACTGTCTAAAG